GATAACGACGACGATGTCCTCCGGAGAAGCGTTTACCTTGAAAGCTTCGTTAATTTATTCATATCACGTCTTGTTAATTTTCTGGTGTAGGTTTATTTATTTATTTTTCTTTTTAACGACCGTAAAATGTTCTTGTCTACTTTATTTTATAATACTTGTGTAAGTTAAAAATGATATTACATTTCATCACACAGCGTAAATAACATTTTATACGCGCGAAAATAGCTTTCCAGCACGAGAACGGAGATATAATTTACCATTAAGATTGTTTTACATGCACCGTCGTGACGCGCTTTTAAGTGATGAATATTTTTGTAACTGTGAGTAAAAGCACTCGAGAATTCACAATAAGAATTTCATAAAGAAGGGATCAAACGCGACATTGGTTCTAAGGGGTCATAAAGTTACCTTTCACAGTACAACACGTGTCTCGTGAATTAATAAGGATGTAACGTTACCGCTCGACTAGGCTAGCCTCACATCAAAGGTAAGCGTTCTCTTTGGGGGGTCCCCAAGTCGTTTCGATACTATGTTTAATTGCCACGATTATACCTTTGTCATTGAACCTAACACGAAGGTAATATATATACTAATTAATAGAAGGGAACTGAAGAATAGGAGAGAGAAGTACCACTCGCCCGCTTTTGATCTAATATCAATACGATGTGAATCATTGTGATTAAGAAAAAAATTTAACCGAAAGTTCTACTCGCATTTAATCGCTCTTTAAATCTCATATTAAATATCGAGGCTAGCTTGACTTCAAACGAGGCTTAAAATTGCAAGTTTGCTCGCAATTTAAGCGCGGAATGGCCGAGCGAAAATGTTTCAAAGCGCTAAGAATTATGCGCGAGCGAGCAAGTGGACAGAACTTTTTGAACTTTTGTATCGGGAAGTTTCTTGCCGTTCCTTTTTGTCCTTGCCTTTTTTCCCGCTCATCGCGTCATCCCGCTCGAGGACGTAACAATTTATATTCATGAGGATTATTTCTAAAAGGGACGGGCACGGATCTACCTTTCGCGATTTCTGCCTCCCTTTTATATGCTGATTTGATCGTGATTTGATCGCGGGTGGTTATGAAGCCTTAAGGAAAAAAGAAAAGAGTAGAATTTAATGGGGCGTCAACGGAGAATTCGGACGTCGTCGTTCTACATTTATGAAAAATTTTCCCAGCCTAGCTCATCAGCTTAATCCTTCTCCATTTTCCGACGAGATCTCTCGATTAATTTAAGGTTTCGAGTTTTAACGTTATTAAAAAACTCATTATTTTTTAAATTCTATTATTCTCGCTTAAATACCGTAATTTGTGGATGATATCTTGATTTATTGCAATCAAATATATTAGAAGATGAAAAAAACGAAAAAAATGTAATTAAAATTTTTTTATAATTTATTTTGTGGTAAATCTTATAGTAACGTGAAACGAAAGAGAAGCGGACATCCGCAACAAAAATAATTAAGTTTCAAGATCGTGTTTCTGCTTCTATCTTCGACGCCATTTTTATTTTTACTCTTCTTCGACGATCCAATTTTGTTTATCGACGACCGCGTCATTTATCGGGAATCTACGACGGAGGCAAATATGATTGTAGAAAACAAGAAAGTTATACGACGAAGCGAAGACTCGGGGAGGTCGAAGGTGCCGTAAATGGAAAAAAAAAACTGTAGGTAAGAAACTTCGTTATCGGGTGAATTCGATTCCGTAATAAATTGTTAACTTTTACAAAAAGTTTAAATGTTCTCGTGACCGAGTATATTACAAAATCGACTACAATCGATTAGTCTGTCGATAGATATCGGGGCAGCGATATTTAGAACCCTCTTAGAGCTTTCTTTTAAAGTTACATGACGTATCTCACATGTTCCTGAACATGATCTACTGACAAATTTCTCAATGAACACTATTAGTGACTATTACAAATTTACACGTTACATCGCGATGTAATATATTCTCCTTGTCCATGCCTCGTGTGTTCCACGGGGCACACATTTGTAACTTTATCGATAAAGATAATTTCGTTACGATATTTCGCGGGGAAAAAATGCACTAGAGGAATTTTCTCTTGGAGGAGAGAATATTTTACCAGCCATATTTCAGTACTCTTGCATGATTTTTATTGCCGTTTCCTCACTTCTCCTCCATGGCGTATTTATTACTTGACCCGAGTTGAAATTTATGGTATTTTTTGAAAATAAATGGGCGATGTAATTCGATTATTTCGAATACTCGGCATCGGCCGAGTGTTTATCGCCGCGACAATAATGCCCCCCTAGTATGATCGAAATCTTTTCAACGCGGATCACTAAGTGTGGAATTTGTGCTCGGATATTAACGTCATAGAGAAAATTCGTTTAATAGTGAAATACCGGAGGGAAGTAGTAAAAGCGCGCGTTTTACTTCGAAGACATAATCCCCGTAAAAGGCCGGAAATTAGGAAGGAAATGAGGTGGAGCTAGTAAAACTAAGGCCATTTGAAGTCTTCCATTTTTTTTCCATCTTATCTCCGCGAAGAGTGCTTATATCTGCATGAACGCATACTTCGTAATGCATTAAAAAGTTATTTCAATTTTACATTTGCTCATCTGATGACGTAGTTAGCATGCTATTTTCGTTCATCATTCTATTTTTTAAAATTTTTGTATAAAAGAAAAACAATTTAACATGTTGTATAATATAATTCAAACACTATTTCCAGTTTTTTTTAGGTCTTTTTAATCTTTTAATACTAATTTAATGTTGTATCACATTATTAGCATTTTGATTACTTCCATGACCAATAACGATTCGATACCAACTAGAACGTAATTACAAAGCGTGACATGCAAATCAATATTTCAGAAAATCTCGTTAATGGACTTAATTCTTTTGAAAGCTCAGCGCAATTTGAGGTAAATCTGTTTCCAATATTTTTGGATGTACTACTTTGTTTCTTCATATCCCTGACGTGACGTGGATTAAAATAAAAATTGGAAATCGTGACGTAGGACGCGGCCGCGTAGAAAATAGGAGTGATATGGCCGTACGTGAAGTGAATAATGCCGGATTGAAAATTCGATTGTTTCGCAATTAATATGTGCATGAAGTTTTCGCGGCGTACTGCGCCGTGCTGCGTGTTCAGGTGAAAAATCTCTCAAGAATGCTGGGCAATTTTTTAGCTTTCCAATGTCGAGCCGCCTAATGTGAATTTATGGAATTACTCGGAATTATTTTATAAGAGAGAAAGAGAGGCAGAGAAGGAACTGCATCATCAAGCGATATGTTATGTCTATAAGTGCGTCTATGTTAGCGATGTATACATCGAGTGTATGCATCGTCGCTTCGAAATTGTCCGATATTACGAAATTCTATAACTCGATTATCGGATACAACATTGTCAATATCGAAACACGTTAATAAAGATTTAAATTGCGTAGTGCCTCTAATTTTTTTCATTGCTAAACAATTCAACTTTCTGGCATTATTACGTTCGTAGGGAAAGTAAATTTAAATAAACCATAAAACATAAAAATAATAAATCGAATTTTAACATTGTTTTTATTGATTTTTTGCTTTAATGTTCCTCGATATATTCTCGTACAGGATCTATGCATGCAAATATGCAGCTCTTTCAGATTGTTCGATATTACGAAATTTTATGACTCGATTCGTTACATTATTGACATCGCCGATACATAGGATGATTTGAGTTACAACGATGCTTTTATCGCGCATTGCTAAATTGCCGGGAAGCAGAAGCGTCGTCGCTCAGAGCGAAAGCACAGCCTTGTGTGAATACTGTAGACCGTATTCATGTCAGTTAAATGTAATAATCTCAGATACTATTAGCGCATAATGCTATCCTCATATTATACAAATGAACCTTGGATGATGGTATTTATAGCATTGAATATAGAATAATCAATGAAATGTCCATGTAGGCAAACAATTTGATTAGTTAATTATATTCCTGCATAATAAACTTTTGAAATTGACATATGAAATGTATTGACAACGTTGTATTATGTATGCATATATTGTATATGTCGAGGTACATATGTACATGCATATTATATTCTGTTCTTGTATATGTATCTTTATACTGCTTCTTTTTTTTACCGTCAATTAGATTATCAATTTTATCTTCAAGTTAATTCATTTCTTGTCTCTTTAATGGATGAAATGCTGGATAATTAATATTCATTATGTTAAATCGATTCTAATCTCCAATTAATTCTGTATATTTTCTTTCGAAAATCGACTATTCAGAATATCGTTAGATACAATTTGTCGAGTGTCATGATTATTATTTGCCGAGTGTAAATTAGACGGGACACTGGATTTCCGCGCTTGCTAATGTAAGCTGTCGTAATTCGTGAGTTAGAGCAAACTCCAATGTAGGAGCGATTCTCGCTTTCGCCAGCCGCTATATCGATCACCAACCCCGGACTGCGGATTATCCATCCCAAGCATGCTTCGTGGGGATGAAAAGGAAGGATACGGGGGGTGAAAGCACGCAAATAACACAACTTGGCAGAATAATAAATGAGGTACGGAAGAAAGCGGAAAATGCTCGAAGATCCGTCCAGACAACGGAGACGAGTGAAAGACACGCGGGAGAAATAAAAGCAACCAAGGTAGAATGTTAGGGAATGTATGAAAGAATGGAGAGCGGTAGGAAAACTGTATAGAAAGTCGCGCAATAATGATATGTGAGATATGTTTTAATATGTCGTAATTAGTTTGTGTCAAATGAACTTCAAGACTTTAACGATAAAACATCAGAAACGAGAGTAGCAAGAATTTTTCTCATTATATTTTTCATTCGCCAAGAAACGTGATTTCCAAATATTTCATGATTGGTGATATCTTTTATTTATGATGTTATGTATGATTAACTTTTATTTACGTTGCTAAATTGACTAAGTTAATAATGTGGGTCAATTTAGCGCAAAATAGCTTCAGCGATGATATTTCGTGATTTATGGCATCTAACTAATAAATTGTTTCTTTTTTGTTTCAGGTGAGATTTTATTTCGCAGATCGCTTTTGCCAGATACGTGGATGAATATTTCATTTTATTCAATCTTCGGTGAGATAATAAAATACTGTCAAGATTTTTCTATCGAATTTCGGATAGCTTTATACTATATAAAGCCCACTTTATTAATCTTATACATTTTTAATCCTGAAGAGCATATTCCACTTTAATCTCTCTCTCTCACACTCTCTCTCTCTCTCTCTCTCTCACTCTCTCTCTCTCACACACACACACACTCTCTCTCTCTCTCTCTCTCTGTATATAATTAGTCTCCTCTATTTCTATAATTGCTATGAATATATATTGTCTTGATATTTGATACGTTTCTTAAGATATATATAAGATTTTCCTAATTATAATTACTAAAATTCTTTTTATCTTCTCTTTTTTACATAACAATTTTTGAAACAACTCGGACATAAACTTGAAATATGTCATGTCAGCAATAATGATCTAGAGATTACGATTAATATTTATAAAGTTGTTACTTCTTCATTGCGCATAATAATGCTAACGACATCAGAAGATTGTGATAAATTTTTAAGTAATTTTTATATTTCTCTGGTTATTTACATTTTTCATATGAAAGAATGACATTCTCAGTAGTCGCCTACGAAACATGAAGTATTTATAGGTCATATCCGATTGAATCATCCGATAAGTATTCCCCTCGCGAGCATTTCTTTCGTCCAGTTAGCAGCCCGTAAAGCTCACATCGTTCTATCGACAGAGCGGAATCGTGAAACTGGAAAAACGGGGCTGCTCATCGTCGTAAAAGTCCACTTCGCGGCCGTGCATGGATTTTACAACCCGGCATAATTGGCTGTAACCGCAGCTATTAAGGATGCTTGATGAGAGATCGTTAATTCCACAGCTATTTGCAGCCATTTCTCACCGTCTACTTAATACTTGCTTAAAGCCTTTACGAGTATTGCCGAATATCGATGTGTCTCTAACGCAGCGCGCGATGACGTTCACGTCGATCGTAAAGCTCGCTCGAAGGATCACGAAAACGCTTTCGTTCTTCCACAGATGTGCTGCCGACGAGCGTGTTTTACATTTTACTGCAATGTTCCGAACGAGTTACGGCACGATCCGATTTGTACTTTATTGCGGTACCCTCAATTGATTAGCGTGCATGCTATTTAGTTTCAACCGCACTTCAGCGAAATGAAAATCGGATCAAAACCGCCGATGCGTGTTAATGATTTTGCGTGTAAGTGAAAATTTAGCTGTTTGAATATACGTAATAATTTATACATTTATTTTTAAGTTTAATGAAATATATTTCGACAAATAACAGTATAAAGCGAATTATCGAAAAACTTTAAAAATCGAGATTTTCTGTTTAAAAACAATCACAATTACTCACAAATAATCGTAGAAAGTTAGTTAAATTTTTAGATCCGCATATGATTCGCATCAGTAATTTCAGCTGCAGGCTTATTCTTAAATAAAAACGCGTAGTTTATCTGACAATAAGCTAGTCGCAAAATATAGTGTAAACATAAAAAAGATGCGCAGCTTCGAGCTTTCGTGCTTTTAACAGACAACTACGTGCGACTTGAGTCCTGCACGTCATACGCCGAAGTTTCGAGCTCTGACTTCTGCGCGTTGCCGCGTTGCTCCGCTTATTTAGCTAACTCTCGCCCGAGATCTGCTTGCAGATTTAATTTAATCCGGTGACTATATCAGCGTGCACGTCTAAGAGGAGAATAGGATGGGTCGTCAGGAATCTCGTAATTACATTGTTTAATGACAGAACTATGTTCATATCAATTCGATTGACTATCGATGCATCAATTGAAGTTTCATCGTGCTTTCGCGTGTAGCCGAAATAGATTTCCGATTTGCATACAATATGGGATCTATTGAAATTCACAAGTTCCTTGATTGGATAATAATGCAATGGGATTGAAATGAACGAATGTAGATTGCAATTCCGTATTTCATAAATTAGAAAACTATTCTAATTTTATTATATTATAAAAATTATATTAAAATATATAAAACTATTCTATTTTATTATATTATTAAAATTATATTATATTCTTTCATTTCACATTTATAGATATTTTATTAACTTAAAATCTCTGAATAGAAATGTTCAAATATGAATAACTTTTCAGCTATAAAAATACGAAAAAGATAAAGTACTTTTCGCGAAATAAAATGTAATTAAACAACAAAATAAGGTTTAAGAAAGAGAAAGAGAGAGAGAGAGTTTTACTTTATACAGTCATAATTTGAAAAGGGGGTTTAAAAATATATTTATAATACAAAAAATTAGAAAGCTTTGATACACGTCCTGCCACTTTGAAAAGTTAATTTCGAGATCGTTAAAAACTCTTTAGCTGAAGCTTTAGTCTGTAGGAAGTGAACTATGTGTATTGTTGGAAATATTTCTCCGGCGCAATGCATACCAAGTAACATATTTTCGTGTAAGCTTAAAACGTAACGATCCAAGCGACGCGGCGAAAAACGACAATTTCGTAACGCGCGTCAGAAAATATCCGTGCGCTGTGAAAACGTTGCTCCGCGAAACCTTCTGCCAGCTCTGATATCCATGCAGGCAAGAAATATACGCCGCGCAATTTAAATCACAACGATGCACGAGGGAAAACTTTCAGCCGCCAAAACAACCTAGGACGGTGGCTAGGCAGGGAAACACTACGCGAAACACAACCGGTTGCATGCATTAGCATTGTCAGAACAAGCTGCCACTTCGGTGGCGAAAGGGTTCGCTTCGCATTTGCATGAATAAGCAACGTCCGCGAAGCTGTTTGTTCAACCCTAGCGAATGTAAAATTTCAGCGCTAACTCACGTTAGCACGGGAGGTCGATTAATTAAGCTAAGATTGATATTAGTAATTAAGAAAGCTGGTCGCGAAGTCTTTTCCGATGTATGAGGAAATTATAGTAAAATATTTGGTAATCGGTTGAACGGACTGATATTAATTTTGAGGGGAAATTGAGAGTTAATATTTACCCTTCCGCTAGAACACGTTCGAATCAGAAGTTTACTAATTAGCAAAGATCAATAGTGATAATAGAAGCCGCCGAATGTTAAACCGCCGAATATTTTTCGGTATTAAGGAAGTAGAGAGAGAGAGAGAGAGAGAGAGAGAGAGAGAGAGAGAGAGAGAGAGAGAGAGAGAGAGAGATTTCTCTTGCAGTATCTTGCAGAGACTTCTCTTGCTAACTATACGCGGAACAAACGACATTAATTCGTAGGGGAAAATTGAGTTAATATTTACCGTGCTATTTCACTAGCGGAAGACGCAAATGTGTCCTTAATATGATTAAACGGCACTGAAATGCACATCTCGCAGCAAGGGAGTATAAATTAGCGTTTTGTGGCCAAGGGGAATCACTTATTCATTCGACAAAATATTTAGCCCGTAGAACTGGGGCGTAACAGAGACGCATTCTCGGAGAGATACATTTAATTGCGAAGACACATTATGCATGCGATTGCACGTCGCGCGCGCAATTGTGGGACGTACACGGTACGTTCATGAATATAATCGGGGAATTCGGTAAAAGTTACAGTGTTATTATTCTCTTCTGAGAATGGTGGAACCATTCTCATTTTTAGTTGCAATATTTTGTACCGCGTTTTTGATGGCGGAACAACAGCTATTCAGCGTGTTATTTAGACTGGAGTGGGAAGCAACCCATCCTTCGTCTACGTAGCCCTTTCAAACATATCCCTCTTTTCAAAAATGCGCCGCAAATGCTGCATTCCCGCCGTAATTTCGTTTCCACCGACGTTCGTAGAAAGCTTCCTCGCATAAACCAAAACTGGTTTTAAGCATCTTTCGAGAGGCATCCACTATCCATTCAAAGTAACGTCACAATTTTCTGCATTTTTTACGCGTGAATGCACATCACCTCATTAAATTTTAACGAGAACGAATTTTACGATACAAAAATATTCTTCCATTAAAGTGATATTTGCATCGCTTATTTAATCTTTTTTTCGTGGTGCATAACGAAGATTTACATCTGTAAATTCAAGCCTGTTAATATGTCAAATCGAAAAATATGTGCACGGAAAAATATGTCTTTTATATATATAAATTAGGTATAAAAATAATGTTTCAAATATCTTGCGATTTTATTGCATTGAAAATTATAAAATTTTTTATGTGACGTGCATATATATTTTCAGTCATGTTATTTTGATAGTAATGGAGTTTTTTAAATATTTTAAAGAGAACATTCTTTTATCATGAGTATTCCTAGAATTTATCTTTTTTTTTAGATTTCTTTAAGTCTTGTTATTAATGGTAACATTTATATTAAGATGGTAAGGATATATAAAGCTTAGCGATTAAATTGCCTCACGTTATCCTGAAGGTTAATCGTCGGCTCACTATAGAGATACGTCGAGTACAAAAGGGCTAAAGGTTGCCAAGCTATCGCCACGGGAGAATCGATTGAGGCGGTCACTTAGCGCGCATGTTTCATGAAACGAAGCCGTAAAGCCATTTGCATGTGACTTTAAATTTCGCGATACTTGTGATCACGACAATGGAACACTATTAGTTTTTGATGTCACGATAGCACGCCGTTCAATTTATATGATGACTTGCGGAACCACTTTATCCGTTATGGATTGAGTTAAGTAAGTGTGCATAAACTGTAAAATTGCGTCCTAGTTGAAAAAAACACATATCTCAATTCTTGTACAAATATTCAAAAACGGCATCTCTTCTAGTTTATTAACATCTTTTTCTTTTCGAATTTAAAAACTTTCTATTAAATTTTTTTATAGATAAAGGTCAATATAAATCATAATGGAATACATAAATGTGTCGACACATATAAAGCGATATATAGAAAAAGTAACAATATAACAACAACCGGTAAAAATATTAATATTATTAGCATTTAATTACACGTTCAATTATCTTAAACATATCTCAATTAGAATTAGGTTTTTATAATTACTAATGCAATTTATTACTGATGAATTATATTATCTCAGCATCACTTTCATGATTAGTCTATTGAGCTACATATGCTACACAAGTACACACACACAC